CAAATCATTCACTCAAATATTTTTCTTGTTTATTTATTGTCTTTACCTTGATCATTATCTCCATTCTTCATTTATGTCTTGAATACTTTGTTGAATGCATTAACTCAGACTAGACGGGTCTTGCCAGACTTGACGGGAACATTCTTTAGTTGCAGACAATGATCTTAAGCATTAACTCAAGGTTTGAGTTTTCAAACATTGCCCTACGCATAAGATCATCTTGATTTCATAGTGGTCCCCAAACCTTTGTTGTTACTAAGCAAACTCGTTGAGTCTAGAAGATGACTCAGCGAGTTAGGCATGTTTATGGACTTGAAGATCAAAGAACTCGACGAGTCCAAGGATGAACTTGGTGAGTTGAGAGCAAAATGTCCTGATTGATATGAAGAGGAACTCGACGAGTTCAAGGATGTACTCGACGAGTTGAGAGCAAAATGCCCCAACTGATATGAAGAGGAACTCGATGAGTTCAAGGATAAACTCGGCGAGTTGTGAGTGAAATTGTTGTGACAAAGAACATGGTTTGGCATGCGGAATTTAAGTTTTCATAACTAACATGGTGATTTGGGTGCTAAAAGATATATTCGATCATAGTAAATGAGTACAAAAAGGGATCTAGTCTAGAGCTTCATAAACATCTCACTCACTAATCACTATGACTACATCTCTCAAGCACACCTCTATAAGTGGACAAACCCACCTTATATAGAGGTGTTTAGATGTCTCTCTCTCACACTCATCTAAACATGTGTCAAAAGGCTAATACTCCACATGCAAGTGGGTTTTACAAAAGTAAAACATTTACAAAGCCAATCATGAATAACTTTGCACCCCAACATTCTCCCCCTCAAAGTTAGGAATGAATGACCCACTTCAAATCTTCCAAAGTAGAGCAACTACGCGGTCCGAGCCTCAAAGGTGACACATGTTGAAACGATCTTCAATCTTCAATTCTTCCATGATTCTTCAATTTGGGCTCTAGGATTTGAGACCATACAATCCGACCAGCAACGAATGATTAATTTCAAATAATCACCCAAAAGTTGCACATAAAAACACACCCCAAAAATCTTCAATAAAACCAAACCCATTTCGAATACATTACTTCCGAACTTCCAATTGTATCATCTCGTGGCTTCAAAACTTCAAGATCACTTCGGTCTTCAAATCCGCGTAAAAATTCAAGTTCGAATTTCCATATAAAACTTCTCCCCCTTTTTATAATCAAAATTTGATTATAAAACTCCAAGGAAAACAAAACGTGCTCTATTTGGAAAAAGAACGTGCTCTATTTGGAATTTTTCATATCAATCCGGAAAATCCAAAAAATAATCAATTTTTAGCTTCGTTCGCGGATCGCCTTTGACGAAATTTCTCAAAAATGGGTGATAATTGTCAATTTCAAAATTCTGCAGTGACCCATTGCATCCAAAACAACAAAATATGCATAACACTCCCTTTTTTTTCAAATCTGGGTAAAAAGCGTCAATTTGCACAAACTACAGGGACATGAAATGCACTTTCTTAAATTTTCAGAAAAAATAGTCATTTTTCGAATTTGGGTGAAAACTGCTAAAAATTCGAAGTCTCATGGACCATTTTTGAAAATTCTGCCCTTATGCACAAATCATACGAAGCATGCCCAAAATATACAAAGCTCCAAAATTTTTTCGAATTTGGGTGAAAAGTGTCAAACACACGAAACTTGAGTTAATTTGCGAAGTGTCAAATATTCGAAGGTTTATGGGTCTTTTTCGAAACTTTGTCCCATTTGTTCAATTCATTTGAAGCCCGAAGCATACGAAGATTCAGTTATGAACAATAACTTCGTATGAATTTTCAATATACCCCCTTCGAATCTAAAACACCCGAAATTTTCAACCCTTCGTATAATACCCAATAATCTTCCCATTTCATTCAAACCTAAAAACAAACGAACAGTGACCCTTCGTTCAAACTGCTTGACCCAGTTCTTCGTTCCAATCACAAACACAGAAACCCTTCGTGCATTAACCTGAATCCAAAATTCATCCAAACCAATCGATCCTTCATTCCAGTCAATACCAAAGTAGAAATTGACTATAAAATCATTTTCGTATGAAGCTTTGACCCATTATTAATTATTTGAAAGTTAAAACTTAAACCAATTATCCAACTGTTTGATTTTTCATCATCTGTTCCCGATCAATCATTGACAATACCAATATCAACAATCGATCCATTGATCATCAATCCAGATCTTTGAAGCTACATCATCAACAGTGACTCACTAACCCCTTGAAAATCGACTTCAAAATCGATCATCATACAATCCAAACAATTCGAAATCAATAGTCGACTCCAATAAAAATCGAAATCAGCTTTTCATTCAAGAACCCAAAACCAAAACTCATTTGTTCGTCCATTACTTCAATCAATATCAAATTAATCAGCAGAAATCAAAATTGCAAACTCACAAAATGAACCAAATAACCAAACCGAACTCGATTTCAAAATTATTTCGAACTGTTCATCATCAATCGTCTTTTGACTTTTCTTAAAGTTTAACCTTTCGATTATAGATATGAAATTGATTCAAACTCCACAACAATCAACTCCAAAGAAATTTAATTCATTTGATTTGAACTCATCACCAATCATCGATTCAATATCAATTGCAATCTTAACTCGAATTCAATATCACAGATGAACTAAACTTTGAAAACCGACTCAGATTAACATCTCTAAACATAATTCCAAATTGATTTAGTTAATGAAATCAATCAAGAATAAGAGAAATAAAAACATTTTGATTTTGATTTCTCGATTTAGATGATGAAGTTGAAAATAAGATCTCTTTCATCCACTGAGAGTTATATGATGAAGATAATAAGAACAAATCACAAAAGTATCGGATTCAAGAACAATGAAGTAATGAACAGTCGATGATCAAGAAATCAAAAAATAGCAGACAAACCATCGAAATCGAAAATTAATTTGACTACGAAGGTCAATGCTAGATTGAATTTAATCTGGAATATCACAAATCGAATCTGGACGCAAACAATATCAAGAACAGTAAAAAGATAATGACATTTGGGATTTTTATAAGATTTGGGCTTTGAATTTGTATCCAATCCATATAAATGAACAGTAATCGAATGAAAATTTGACCTTTAGAACTTGGATTAATGAACAAAAATGAATTAAATCTTTTGAATTCAGATTTGGAATTGATCTTTTCAACTAAATTGTTGAATCACCAATGGGATAAAAACGAATTAGATTCAACGAACCAAATTGATCAACATAAAAAAAACGTTACGCACGATTTAAATGATATTAAGAGAGATCATAGAGCGAGACTCACCAAAATTGTTCAAATTGCAACAAAAGTTGCCAAACCGAGAAACGTTATTCAAATATCACCTTGATCTTGAAAACCCGCTCTGATACCAATTATTGTGACAAAGAACATGGTTTGGCATGCGGAATTTAAGTTTTGCACAATTGAACATGGTGATTTGGGTGCTAAAAGATATATTCGATCATAGTAAATGAGTACAAAAAGGGATCTAATCTAGAGCTTCATAAATATCTCACTCACTAATCACTATGACTACATCTCTCAAGCACACCTCTACAAGTGGACAAACCTACCTTATATAGAGGTGTTTACATGTCTCTCTCTCTCACTCTCATTTACACATGTGTCAAAAGGCTAATACTCCACTTGCAAGTGGGTTTTACAAAAGTCAATCATGAATAACTTTGCACCCCAACATTCTCCCCCTAAAAGTTAAAAGGATAACAATGGCGACTGATAATCCTGATGCAACTTTGTCTCACACCACCGATGATGTAACTTCATTGCTGATCATGAAGATTCAAGGAACAAATTATCAAGTTGAAGAAAATGTCTCTCACTATCCTGAAGACCTAAAAATGCTTATTGATGCTCTGAAAAGTTCCGTATTCTCAAAATCTATGTTCAACACATTCTCTGTTCCTCTATCATGGTTGTCTCAAGCTGGATCAACAACAACTTACTCTAAAGCCATGGATGCAATGTTGTTTAATCTTGTGACTGATAAGAAGGTTAGACTTTCAAAGAAGCTTTTCTGCCAAATTCTCGATATACCTAATTCTCTACCATACGTCACTTTTACATTCCCACAAATTGTTCACAGGTTCAATGAGATGGGTCATCAACCACAATTGGACTTCCAAGTGTTTGGAATTTCTTGCTCGGTATTTTTCTTAGATGCTTGACTGGAAGAACTGTTGGGTTAGATAAAGGGAAAATGGAAGTTTATGTGATGGTTGTAGGTCTATACTACGATCTTCAGGTTGATTATTCTTCTCAATTATGGAAGGAGTTCTTAAAAATTATAGAGAACACGAATGCTATTCATGGCATTTCGTGTGCTCGGTATTGGAGTTTGATCTTACAATATTTTTATGAGAAGGAAGGAATTTTGGTTCTGGTAGACGAAGAAAAGGTTGTGTTTCATGTTTATAGTTGTCCGAAGGATGCAACTGACGATACTGATGAATTTCCATTTGTTTCTCGCATTCCGGATGCTATGTTGAAAAGGGTTGATCCCACCAAGACCGTTCTCATTACTTAGTCACAAACAATTGATACTTTTGTTGAAACCGGGGTTCTTTTGGCCAGAGAAGAAGAAAATAAGACTAAATGATCGAAGAAGGTTGTTGATGAATCTTCTAAGAAATCTATCAAAGGATCTACATCAGCAAAGAGTCCGAAGAAAATACCAATCTCAGAAGCCGAGCCAATCCAACCAAAAATTGTTGTTGTTGATACCTCCTCGACTCAAAAGGAAATTATTCCTTCGAAGATTGGAGTTTTTCGAAGAATCAAGATGAATTCAAAGCATAAGAGTCACTCAGATTTAACCAATGTTGTTCGTAAACCATAGGTTTCGCATCAAGGAGTCATTTTTCTTGAGATTCCTGGTCCTGCTTCACCGTCTTCTAAGAAGAGAAGGGCAACAGATATGGCCAAAGATATATCGAAGAAGAAGAAGAAGGGTAGAGTGATTATTTCTTCAGAGTCTAGTGCTGATGAAAATGAAACAATTCCAGAGACACCAGAAGCTGATCTTCAGAAAGATTCGTCTCATATTACATCAACTGATGTAATACCACCTGAATTTTTTCTTGCCAAGACAGTTTCTATGGAGGCACAAACTTCTGACATTTTTGTAAACAAGTCTAATATGGATGCAAGTGTCACAATGGGTGAGGATGCTTTGCATGTTGCAGACAAATGTAAATCTTCGGATGTTACCCCAGACACAACTGTTTATTTACCTTCATAGGTTACACATATCATTCCTACTACATACACAACTGATTCTCCTACCTTTGCAAACATCATCTAACAACCATTCACATCTCTTTTTTCTTCATAATTGTGACAACCCGAAATTTCCATTCTGTACGAACTTTATAAGGTCAATAGAAGTTATAACAGTCACAGCAAATTTTCAGACTTTTCTGTATAAGTTTGAGTATTTCGGGATTTACACTTAAGGAGATATCAGGAGAGTGGATGCACTAAGGTTTCGTGAAACACTGTTATTCCAAAAATCTATTACATTAGAGTTCATTGCGGGAATAAAAGTATTTTCTGCCAAAAATCCCAGGACTATAAATATGATTCTTAGCCAAATTATTTCATTTGTTACATTTCCAACTAGAGAAAAGCCATTTTCTCTCTCACAGATCTTTGGGTTTTCATCCCAAATTGTGACTACCCTTCTCTAGTTACATTATATGGCTTATAACATGTTTAATAACCTCAATTACATAGAACAACGGCGAGATTCGGGAGTTTACCGCCCAAGAACATCTTGGGGAGTAAACTTGTAGCGCCCGGTTTCCGGTATGTGAATTTTATTTGAGTATTGCCCTATTTTAGCCTTGGACTCGGCGAGTCACTAGGTCCGACTCGCCGAGTAGGGACGAGACGCAGGACACGTTTAAGTTGGCGACTCGGCGAGTCCATATCCTGGACTCGGCGAGTCACCGCTGTTGGATGAAACCCTAAGTTTCAAGGGTTTGCACCCTATTTAAACCCCATATCTGCCCCTTGCCAGCCCCCATTCACCCCCAGAGCTCCCAACCCTCGTCCTAAGCTTGTTCTTGTGAATTTGAGGCTCTTGTGTGCATTCTTGATGGTTTTGAGGCAAGAAGGGGAAGGAGATCAAGAGGAAGGAGAGCCATCCAAGCATCATTGTGTTTTTCAGCTGTTTCATTGAGGTATATCTCGTTTTCCCCCTGTTTCTATGCTTAAGATTTCATTTAAGACACTCTTGAGCAATTCCTCAAGCTTGTTTGTGCTTAATGTTTCGTAATAAGTGGATGGGCCTTTAGATCTAGGCAAGATTGAGCTCCAGGAGCTCAGATCTGTTAGCTTTATGGCCCCATGTGGCTTGTTCATCCTAGATCTACCCTTTTGAGGCATTTTGAACCCTAAAATCCATGTTAGTGAGTATCCACACGTAAAGTTGGAAACTTTACGTGTGATTGGTGTCCTAGAAGTCCAGATCTATGAATGGCATGAACTGAAATCGAGTAAATCGGTGTATTTGGTGGATGCATGGCGACGACTCGGCGAGTCGTATAGGTGACTCGGCGAGTCTGGTCGCGAGTCACCGAATTGGTCCCTTCATGATGTATCGAGTTGAGCCGTGAGTCACAGGGGGTGACTCGGTGAGTTGGGAGCTGGACTCACTCATGATAGGACTCGGCGAGTCAATGCCTGACTCGGCGAGTCCAAGGCAATCTTCATAGATCAGGAACAGACTCGGCGAGTTGTTCATACAACTCGGCGAGTCTTAGCATATGTGTTCTTCGGATGAAGATGAACTCGACGAGTTGTTCATACAACTCGGCGAGTAGGATGAAGGAGTTGAATGACAGTTTAGAAGATGAACTCGTCGAGTCATAGCCCAACTCGACGAGTAGAATCAGGGACCCAGGACAATAGTTTGCTAGGGACTCGGCGAGTGGAGATCCACTCGGCGAGTCGGGTCAACTGAAAGTTGACTTCGATTTGACTTAGGGCTAGACCAGGGGTAAAATGGTCTTTTTACCCAAAGGACAGTTAGCAGTGTATGATTAAGTATATTGTGGGAATTGCAGCCGGAGGACTCCCGGAGCAGCAGCAGTCAGTTAGTTCCCGATCAGTTCAGCAGCTACTTTGAGGTGAGTTACCTTCCAGTAGTGGTGGGCCTAAGGCCACAATGCCGGCCCACCAGTAGGGGACGTATGATAGATGATTGTCTTTGTGATATCATCTAGGTTTGCTATTACCTGTTATGTTATATGCTCTCATGATACGTTATATGCAATAGTAGTGGAGTTCGGTTGTTAGGACCGCAGGGTAGTCAGACACCCCAGAAACATCTGACCGTATGTGATGGTATGCTTGTATGTTGGCCTGTTATGTTATGCGATAGAGGTAGCGGGAGGGGACCAGTCCCCGAGGATCGGTTGTTAGGACCGATGGGTAGTCAGCACCCCAGAATGGCTTGACATGGGTAGTCAGCACCCCAGAATGGCTTGACACGGGTAGGACGGCACCCCAGAATGGCCGTATGGGTAGGTCGGCACCCCAGAATGGCCGTACCGGGTAGTCAGGCACCCCAGAATAGCCTGGCAGTATTTATGTTATGTGTTTGCATGGTATGTGGTACGTTGGGGGAGCTCACTAAGCTTTGTGCTTACGGTTTCAGTTTTGGTTTCAGGTACCTCCTCAGCTAGGGGAAAGGAGCCGGCACGGTAGCAGCATGTCACACACACACTCTTCGGTTTCCGCATTTACGAGATTCACTGGGATTGTACTCTGATATTTGATGGATTGTATGGTTTGAATATTAAAACATGGTTTGCGATGTGTTATGGCGTGATCAAACAATGCTTTTATTTATTAATGTTTTCTAAAAGTAATATTTTAAAATGAAATTTTTGGACATGAAAATTGGGTCGTTACAAGTTGGTATCAGAGCCCTGGTTTGAGGGATTCGGACACGCCTTCGGGAGTGTCTGAACTCAAATCGAGGGATTGAAAGATTTTTCGAAAAGAAAATGTTCTCTAAAACTTGGAAAAGAGTCATAAGAAAGAGCGAAGTGTGTGACGTGCGCGACCGGCCGAGCTCAAGTAAGTATTCCCCATAGTACCCATACAAGTTTATGTTATGTTTATCAGCTTACGTAGAACTGCATGCTAGAATAGGGCTAAGGATCTAGGAGTGATGCCTTATGTGCCTGCTTATGTGTTACAGCTTTATGAATATTGCATGCTAGAATTGAGTAGACAGCAGTAGGATAGCCTGTTTAGGTTATGCCTGATAGTATGAGCTTAGCATCCTATGTTAAGTGTCGTTTCTTGTTATAAGGATAGTTTTGGCTTGAGTCTGTTTCCCCTTATCCGAATGCTGCTTGCTTCGTGCTTGGTGGGGTTCTGAGTAATGGGAGTTAGCCACTAGGTAAACACGTCACACCACATGTAATCAGGGTTGAATAATCCCAAAGTATTGGAACTGGCCCTATTGCGCAGCTCTTGTTTGAGTCCAACCGTTGTAGGGACGGATCTTTTACTTGAAGGATTATCTAATCCTCGTCCCATGTGATGGTGTTTAGGTGGTGGCTAACTGGCACTATGAGGAGACCTACAGCAGCTGAGGACCAGTCGTGTTGAACTTGAGTTTTCCCTAGGGCAAGCCTAGGATGAGAATAACAGAGAGTAGCAGTAGTAAAGGGGATCTGGTGGAGTCGAGGAATTCCTCGGAGAAGGCACGGATAGATGTGGAAGGTAGTATGGGCCCGTACTACTGAAAGCAGAGGATCCGTACCCGAGCCGAGGAAGGCCAAGACGAGACCAAGGAACCTGTAAGTAGTTGAGATCCCTCAGAAAGTAGCAGTATCACTAATGATTATTATGATGATTTGCAGAATGGTGGTACTTCGACCGAGACCGACAGATGGCGGGTCAGGAGAGGGGTCAGGTTCGGGATCAGGCACCGAGCCGATTGATGAGAGGCTACGTGAGTTCATCACGTCGGAGATCACCAGGGGCATCCTTGAGTCGACCCCCATCCTCTTTGGGTCGATCAAGGAAGGGATCATGGAGTTGATGGAGGATCGCCTACGGGCATTCAGGAGCGATTTGGCCTCTAGCCAGTCAGGATCTCGCACACTGTCCTTCAAGGACTTCAGGGGCAGTGGCGCGCCGGATTTCCATGGGGTGAAGGACCCCATTGTCGCCAGGCGGTGGATTGCAGATATCGAGTCTGCCCAGTTGACTAGCTTCTGCCCCGAGGGGTCGAAGGTGAGGTACGCAGCAGGGTGTTTACGGGACCGAGCCCGGGATTGGTGGGAGTCAGTGGGTGACTCGTTGGGAGCCTCGGCTATCGAGGCAATGACCTGGTCGGACTTTGTGACTAGGTTCAGAGCAGAGTTTGCACCGGCGGTCGAGCTTCAGCAGCTGGCCAGGGAGTTTCTAGACATGAGGCAGACGACAGAGACCGTGGCGGAGATCACCGCCAAGTTTCGGGAGAGGGCTTTTTGGTGCCCCAGTATGCCGGTGATGAGGACATGAGGAGGACTCGTTACCATGATATGCTACGAGCTGACATCCGGGAGCATGTTAGCTTTTCGGCTTGCCCCACCCTGGACTCCATGATTGCCAGGGCTAGGGAGAGAGAGATAGATTTGGAGCACATCCGGAAACGGAAACTTGAGGACGGTCAGGCAGCAGGGGCTTCGGGGAAGAAGCCCAAGGGATCAGATGGGAGGCCGAAAGGCCAGTCGGGACCGAGCCGCTGCAGGAGGTGCGGCAGGCCGCACGAGGGGGCGTGCAGGATGGGATCGTCAGGCTGCTACAAGTGCGGCAAGTTTGGGCATATCAGCAGGGATTGCACTGCTCCTGCGACAGTTATTCAGACATCGGAGTTGCTGTGTTTCCATTGCAACCAGAGGGGCCACAAGAAGGCCAATTGCCCCATGTTGACAGTTTCAGTGCCAGTGAAGGCGCCAGCTCCAGCGACCCTGCGGATCACGGATGGCCGTCAGGGCAAGGCAGAGGCTCCGGTGGTGAGGAGCGGGCATTCCAGTGACTACAGAGGAGGCACGCGCCGCGCCCGATGTGGTGACGGGTACGATTCTTTCCTTCTATCTTTTGTTTTATGTTGTTATGATATTGATATGTGCTCCGTGTGTATACATGTGTATTAGGATCGTTCCATGTGAACGGTATCCCGGTTCAGGTATTGTTCGACTCGGGTGCATCCCGATCGTTCGTTTCTCTTGCTCT